ATTTAAATAATTACTGTTTTATAATATAATTGCACAGATATTTATATTGATATATTGACATTGTTCATTTAAATCGAGTTTGATGTGTTATCTAAATTAAGCAATAAATCTCATTTAAAAAAGTGTTTATCTGCACAAGGACTTCTGGTTTTTTTCTAATTTTTTCAGGATACTCTTTAGAATTAGGCCTGCTGTTACCGCTTTAATCGTACGTTGGGATCGTGAACTGTAAAATCCATTTTAATAGTAAAACATTATCTGAGAAGAATTACGGATAAGAATAAGAAGTAAGAAGATTATGTATGGCCGTGGCCGACTCTTTTTTACCTATTTTTTGTACCTTCCATTTGAAAGAAAGGAAAACAGGAAAAAGTGTGGATAATGCATATCACGCACTAGAGCAATCGCAAAACCGCTCATGATGCGTCATGCAAACAAAAGATAAAAAGAACAATGCAAATGTAAAAGACGTGCCTTTCTTCTTTTACGTTTGTTACATTTCTTTTCAAATTTTTTTTAGATAAGATAAACGCCCTGCATGCACCTGGAGCATTTATCCGGCGCTTTAGTGACGGTTGAGAATAAATTTTTCCTTTTGTGTTCTACGTGGCCGCCATTGCTAATAATATACGTTAAAAAGTCTGACATTTTGATTAGTCTGCGCGATAGACGCGACTCAATACAAACCCCTTAATGGCGTTTCAACTAATACGAGGACAAATCGCTGTAAAGTACTAGTAATGGCTTTGCAAAATATAAATTAAGCCAAGTGTACAACGTAGAAGAGCCAAGACCAGGATTTCAACTCTCTTGTCTCTAGCGAGTCACCTGAGCTGACCGTTTGCCATTTTCGTAGTATAAATGCGTATTACGCGGGTCCTATTAATAGGGGGTCTAGTTCAACAGATGACAGACTAGAGACAGACATGTACTATCTTTTCTTGGCTTGTGCAACGTTCTTACGGTGATCCAAAATTCATCCAACAGTTATTCTAAAGCTTTCGCCAAAGCAAATGTATCGGTCCATCATAAACTTGAACACAATCGTTCTGCCTAAACACGGTTTTAGGCAAAGAACAGGTTTGAGGTCTCTAAAATATAGCTGTGCGCCTGGACCTGATTAGATTCTATCATATATACACAAATCATGCTCTGTCGACCTACATGGTGTTATTTCAATGATTTAATCAGTTCTTGAAATCAGTTGCTTTTACTTTGTATTGAAAGAGTAGTTCCTTTATTCCAATTCACAAATGTGGAAATAGACATCACGTTAAGAACTATAGAAGCATGGTGAAGTACTCCTCCAACACAAAGGGAACACATCTGATTTCAAGGATTGATTAAAATCATTGAAATAATATCACATTGCTCGACAGAACTTGTTTTAAGTATACATTATCGAATCCCATCAGCTTCAGGCGCAGAACTATAACTTAGAGACCAAAAACTATGATGTTTTAGCATTCTCTGAAATGACCAAGTTAGGAATCAAAACCGATCTAGCGGGTACGGATATTTGCCATTTGAATCAGAATTAAAAGTTGAAAAGTTTAGGGGGAAATATTCAAGGGACCATGATATCTATAATAAGAGAAAATACAACTTCATGGATGACACGGCCCTTCAGATACACTAAAAAGTGGACAGCGATTTACAACCATCTCCGGGAAGTTGGCGAAGCAAGGATCTAGCAGTCTGCCATTACCATTAGGAGTTCGGATGTATTGAAGTAAATTACGATCAAATAGAGCTATCGTGTTTTTCCAGAATTATTACTATAACTTGTGGTAAATTGAAGTCACAGTGACTATATCAGTAGATTTAGACTTTTCGCCCAGGTCACAAATGAGGGCAGCAGGTTTCTTGTAAATGGGGATATCCGCCTTTGGTGGAATGTAAGAGCAAGTTGCGTACAACTGCTTATTGGCAATTTTCGCCCGAATGGCAATAAATTCAAAGTCGGGAGGAGTAGCAATTTCAATTGAATAGGACAGGACCGCAGCAGATATGGCAATTAAGACACCATCACCAATGCGATCCAATCGACTCTTTCTGCAAACCTAGAAAGAATTTTAAAAAAGTTCCGACGAATGTAGATCAGGCTTTAACCAAGTTTAAGCGAAGGCCAAACAGGAAAACTGCATGCTCACTAAGTTTAGGAAAGTAGAGTGAACTTTTGAGCGTACGCCCCTAACATGTTGATAAATGAAAGTTATTGGGCCTGAAGAAACATCTAGTTTTCTGAGGATGAAAGAGTAACCGAATTAATATTACAGAGTCAATCCCGAGGAACGAATTCCGTAATTAAGAATCCAAATGGCCACAATGATTTGTTTCACAAAATTTCCATGTTTTCAGCTGCAACCAACACTTTAAAAGACGAGATAGCTCTAGCTTGAGATGGAGCTAATTTGGAAATGCTTACTCGCTTCAACTTTACAGCTAAATAACTTTTTATTGCATCCACAGCCCAGATTTGACACGAATATTGCCTTTCTGGGGGAGACTGCTGACAAGCTTACGTCATCCCTACTAGACAGTAGAACAGTATTTGCAGGTAGAGAACGTGCAGCTTGTGCGAGTTGCCCAGCATGGTGATCAGCAGACACCATCAAACAGCCAGCGGGTGAGTCGGATTTGTTACTTTTATTAATATTTTTTGGAGATGTGCACAAAGTAGCACCAATGGCACCAATGGCAGGAGATATCCCTGCCCATTCAACATATCTAGACCGCGAGGAGCTTCCCTGCTTATTTGCAACTATTTTATTATCGGCCCACTAGTGGAAACGCTAACGTCCTTTGTAAACAAGGATGGAGCATTCACATGAGTCGATCGATCAGATCTAGCCGAAGGCGGAGGTAAGGTAGCACATGCTACACTACGAGTTGGTCTTTTACAGTCTTGAGGAGAAGATGAGTGTTCTAAATAACGGCGCTTATTGAACATAGACTTAATGTTCTCAATCTCTCCACACAATGTAACGAGATAAATGAATGACCATGACAATGAAAATGAAAAAACCAAACTACTTCTGTAAATTGACAGAAAAGTGTGGAAGATGAAATACATTTTCAGTTAAACGAATGTCGTTATTTCAACGAAGTTCCAAGAAGAGTCAATGGCAAGAAGGATAAAAAATACCGTGGGCTGCAAATTCAATAGATGATGATTTCGTTGAAAAATTAACCTTATAAGATGTTCTATAAAACTTTTTTAAATGATTCTAAATTCCACATTTTGGATCTTTCATCTATAAGAGGAAGACGAAAAATATATGGAAATATTAAATTACTTCCATTGGACATCGTCACTAGATCTGTAACGAACGATAAACATAAAATTATTATGTTTTTACTACCAAACATCCCTCCAGTTTTTAAGGAACATTTGAAGAGTCGTTAAATCTGCTAATAATAAAAGCCTAAAATAATAAAATTGAAGTACTTTTTAAAAATAATTAATAAATGTCCATAAAATATTTCTTTAAGATTATTGTTTCTAATAAAACTCATAGTTTTTTTTTATCCGTTTCAATTTTACTTAATTTCCCAAGACATTTTTCTTAAGTTTTCTCTCGCTCGTGTTTCTGCCCACCTCAAATCTCTTTTCTTTTACCTTTTTCCATTCCTTTTTTTCGCAAAGGTCATCTGAGCAACAACCATTTCTCAACGTGCGAGATTACCAACCGGCTTTCTGCACGGTTGTATTTGTAACAATTATTACAAAAATATAAAACAATTGTTAGAATCTGCGTGCAAAAACTTCCAAAGTTTCTATGAAATTGAAGTCGATATCTTAATTTTTGCCACGAGAAAGAAGTCCGCAATATAGACATGCAGACATACAGACGGACAGACATGACTTAGTCAATTCGGAACTTCATACTAATCAAGAATACCTTATAAGTTCCCTGAAGCTTTCTTTCGTGTGTTGCAAACATTATGCCAAAATGAGTATATCGCTCATCCCTCAGCGGTGGGTATAAAAATATTATTATATATATATTATTATAAAAGAATTAGAATAAACTATCTAATTTTCTGGCTTTTTTTTACTTTAGGTGAACCAATGCAGGATTTAGAGGTAGGCATTATAGCAGAAAGGAAAAATAAATTAAATTTTGGAATTTCGATAAAAGCTTTTATATTATAGCATTGAATTCAAAATTTTGCAGACCAAGCCGATGCAACATATTCAAAAAAAAAAATAAATAAATAAATAATGTTAGTACAATTCCAGTAAGGAAAGATGCCAATTATTAATCTTTTTGGACGTTACCTTTGGAATGATAGCACTAGATTACCACTCCTGATAACTGCTAAGAATAAACATATTGACGTCAAGTAATTAAGCATTGTATAGTGAGTACAGACAAAATAGCAAAAACAAGCAAAATTGTATTGGGCACTAGGCCGGCTACTAGATACCTTACATCACTCGGCCTGATATAATTCTTCATTAATCCACAATTTCATAAGAACCCTTATATGCCAAATTGATCCATTTTATAAAGTCTTACTTTTATTTAGGGATACTTACATGGAAGGGTCAAAACATTCCTCAGTTTGATTCAAATTTTTGCGCACGAATATTGTATGGCGGAATAGTGTTACCCATTTTTGTCCAGAAATTTTGGAAATTGGAATTTTCTTTTTGTATACCGAGTTTTTTAAAGTGGTCGCGAATGTGGTTCGATTCAATCGATTTTCGATGGTATCAGACAGACAGACGGAAAGATATATCTAATTCAATTCGGAAAATGATTTTGAAATGATCGGCATAGTGAAAGTTAAGTCATTCTTATAAGTCCTTATGTGTATCACATATATCCACACAAATTTAATATACTCCACATTACAAATAGTGTATGATACGAAATGTAATGAGAACTGTACAGTCCAGAAGAGATTAAAGGGAGCAAATAAATTAAATGACATTTGCTTATTTAGTAAAAAATAACAATTTAAAAATCTTATATTTATTGAATTAATTAGTCGTTAAGTAGAAGTAGTCATCGAAAGTATAACATTAAGTGGAGCATAACATTTCTGAAACCAACTTTAAACTTAAGAAAAATAAATAAATAAAGAAATTAAAAAATACATACCTGAAATATTCTTCGTTATGTGAAGGGAGAAAAATTACTATAAAAATAAATGTTAGATTAAATGGAAAGACGATAACAAAGCATATCATTTACTTAAAAGTGAAGTGACCTTCATTAAGGTTAATACTAATTATTGTACATCTTGATACACCAATATGTATGCACCATCAAATCTTAGCTAGAGCTTAAGGCTAGATGTTTAACTTCTTCGAACGCTCTACAATTTTTATTTTAAAGCGATACTTTTATTCGGTACGCTTTAACCAAAAATTGTATTATGCGGCTCCTGCGTTTCTCTTTGTCCGGAACATCACATTAAAATTTCCATATTGTATATAAGTAACAGTATAAGATGTTGGGAAAATTATTCCTTTTCCTTTATATGTAAATCCATAAGAGCATCTAGGGTCTATATTTTGTTTACGATTTCGTTTTAGTATACGCATAACATAGGTGTAAAAGTTTGGTCCAAATCTACTAAACTAAACGTGATATTCAACAGTTCTATGCAAGAACGCGTTTAGCCATTCCGCAGTCGCGCAGTTATTTATGGAAGCCTTAACTTCAGTTTACCGATCAGAATGGTTTCTGTACTTAATTCGTGGAAAGGAACTTTTAAAATCTATTTTGACTCATGTTTTTCTTCGCGTTAACATTTAATACATGGATTTCACAATTATCTTTGCTATGAAACTAAATAAAAAATAACGCATTGGATTTTACACATCGTAGTAAAGTTCTGCTTAGATTACAAAGTCTACAAGAAATTTTGTATTTGTATTTCAAGCTTTGGGTTAATAGAACAAACCATGAGTTGTGCGAATGGGTGTAAATCATTTCCAATTGTGATCGAGATAAAAACTATTAGGAAAGTGATTCTATCAGAATACATACTACGGCACTTCTCTTATGCTTATATGACTTTAAAAAGAATGCAAGACAACTATCAATTATACGTGAACGTCAAGAGTTGTAAGGATAGAGAGACGGATGAGTTCAATTGGTTCTTTTTGTGAAATAATTAACTTTTCAAAGACCTTTAATTTAGGTATAAATTTTTCTCTTGATGCTGGAATGTAAAAGTAAACACTATACTATATTATATGCATATGTACTAAACCAATACATATACGAACCAATTGAATTTAAATACAGCACAATATATATATATATGAATTTGAACATTACTATTCCAGATGTATTTAAAAACAAATTTTAAAACATTGAAAATATCAATAACCGTTTTACTATTGTTCGCATTAATAAGAAAGCCCACGGACAGTTGGGCACAAGCCAATATTGCTGATGTTGTTATATTAAACGATTTACTAAATTGGGAGCATGTAAACAGAACGTGTTTGGCACGAGATTGTGATGAGCACGTGAATTTAAAGCAGTTGCAGCAAATCAACACATACATGAATGATGAGGCTGACCCGTGTGAAGATTTTCACAAGTACGCTTGTGAGCATTGGAAAATAGAACATCCAAACGAGATGACCATGGCCGCAGTTGCCTATAAACAAATCACAAAAAAACTTTTGGAAATATTTGAGGATAATAAATCAGAATTTAAAGCCGAATTACAAAACAATGCAATATACCGGAAACTGAACGACTATTATAAGGTGTGTAAAGAAAACGAACAACAAAACTCGTCGATATTATGGTTGTACTTGAACGAGTTGAACGAGATGGGTTTTCTAAGGCCTTCGGAAAATCCTAGCTGGTTACAGACCTACAAGGAATTACAGCTACTTATGGATAATCCTTATTTTTGGCGGTTCTCTATGGAGAAGTTGACAAAATCGAAATATATTTTAACCATTGACAAACCTGAAAATCTAAACGAAACAAACATTACGATCGATTTATATGAAACTTTAAAAAATTTCACTACTCTTTCTTTGGAAGAATTGCAAACAAAATTTCTTTCTTTAGAAAATAGAATAAATGAGATTATTGATGCGGATTGCGCCAGTAAGTGTGTTCCAGCCGAAACACTTACTTATGAAGAACTTTTGCAAAAACAAACCTCAATTAATTGGGCAGATGTGTTAAGTAATTTCCAGTTGCAGTCCAAGGATAACGTAACAGCTGACAGCATTGAGACGTTGGAAAATTTATTTGCTTATCTAAATCGACAAGATTCTCATTTACTGTATGTTTATAACTTATTTAAGTTTCTGAGTCATTTGGAATCTGATAAATTGAACTTCTTGGACAACGTACATAGTCCTTACAAATGTGTCCATCATATGCGTAAAATATTTGATTTACCTATGAATTATTTATACGAGAAAGTTTTCTATAGCAAGATACGAACAGAAAGCGATCAATTGATCAAGAACGTTTTTGAGGAATTAAAACAAACGTTTGCCGAAATTGTCGAAGAAAACCAACTAAAATTTGCAGACAGAAATAAGAAATATCTCATGAGCAAATTGAATGGGGTTTCTTTAAATATAGGAAACTTACCTGCAAATGTTTCTGATGATTTTTACCAAAATTATTTGCAAGATTATCAAGCAACAAACAATTTCTATCTTAATCATCTTTTGGCTTTGAAGCATTATTATACTCAACAACTTTCACTGGGTTCCTCCTTAAATGACAACGCTCCTTGGTTTTCATTTGAATCCCTCGATCCTTTTGTGCTGGACAGTATTTCGACGGCTACCTATTTCTCTGTAACGAATATGATTACATTACCATTTACTTATCTGCAAGTACCCTTTTATTCCCCTCAATTTTGGCCCCCTTTGCTCTATGGGGATTTGGCAACTACTATGGGTCATGAATTAATCCATGCGTTCGATCCCGGTAGTTTGGTTTACGACAGTGGTGGTAAGCTGGCTGAAATGGAATTCAAATTAATATCCAAAAACTGGCATTACAAGAATGCTATAAAATGTTTGAACCATAAACCTACTGAATTCTTAGACGAGCGTGTAGCTGACGTTAGTGGTAGCCGATTGGCTTTATTAACTTTTAAACGAAAATATTTTTTTTCGCCAAGTAATGCCAAAATGTTTTTTTTACAATACGCTCAGTTCTTTTGCGGTAACGCTGACAATTTTGGTGAATTTCATGCTCAGGATTCGACTCATGATATAGACGGCGTTCGCTTAAATTACACTCTATCGCATTCATCTGAGTTCGCAGAAATTTTTGGTTGTCCGACGGATAGTCCTATGAATCCGAGAACTAAGTGTCAGCTATGGTAATGGATTTAAAAAGCTGCAAGCGTTCATTTAGTTTTATTATTATTCTCTTTGAAAACATGTCAAACAATGACATCCTAACCAAACATCCATTGAAGGATTCTAATTAAGTTTTTTTTTCTTTTTTTTATTGTGCTCTCATTTACTCAACACATGACCACACACGCAAAATAGGTATATAAACTTTTTGTTGCTCGTGTTGGAAGTCGTTTAAAATTCTACGTGACTGATTGTTGTTGGTTATGGCGTTGTTGTTACGTTTAAAGGGTCGGTCAAATATTTTATAAATGATTAATTAGAACGAGAGTTAATTAAAAGGGTCGGTAACAGACAACAGCGATGTTTCAAACTCAAAAGAGGCTTGCTGCCCATTTTATATATTGAAATATTAAAAATTTATTAACAAACCGAAAAAGAAGCATTAGTAACAAAAAAAAAAAAAAAAACTGAAGCGAAGATATGGTGAAAATATATATTTAATTTTAAAAATTTAAAACAAATACATTTAATTTCTTTACTTTTTATTGTTTAATAATTTTAATAAAACCGTCAGATTTATATCAATAAACAACTAAGCACTAAGAGTTTTCTGAAATCATTTTTGCACACTTTGCTTTCTATCGAATGAAAATTTTCTGAAACATATTTTATATTTTACGTTTTAAGCGAACTTTAGCATGCGAACGCTACAAGAAGATTGCAATAAAGAAATACTTTACTATACCAAACGCAAGAACATATATCTGATTTCAGTTTATTATGGTCTGACTATGTCGAAAAATCTAAAGAAAACTGTGTTTTTGTAAATCATTGCGCAGCCCTTGCAGGAACTGTTTATAAGCTTAGTTTCTGTACAAAATTAAAGATACTCCACCAATATAGACCACTATTTCAGCTTTATTTGCTTAGCAAAGGATATACCATCGCCCTTCGGCTATATTGTAGAAGACCACGAACTCAAGATAAATAATTGTACAAGCAAGTGAAGCTGCGGTGTAATACGAATGATATTAGAAACTTCGTCTTTTTGCGATTCAACGGCCAAATGCTTATAAGTACCCTGAGGACCTCAAGACCTAAACGGATATGGTCCACATTTAATCGTCAAATACTTTATTATTGATCCATTTTCTTCATAATATGTCAAAAATTATACTTTATGCCAAAGAAATTCTTACTTTTGATGAGAACATTAATACGGGAAAGATCTGAAATATAGAAGGTTATGGTCCGAATTATGGCATGAATTGATAGAAAAAGTTACTACTTTGCACCAATTTTTTTCATACAATAATAACAATTATACCTTGCTTACGCTAGGCAAATATAACCAAGCAATGAATATTGTCGCGCATTTTTAGATAGGTGTTATATAAGTAATGGTGTATTTCGTTCGTTATTTTCTATGGAGTTCGTTCTTGGGGTAATCCGTCTTAATGCACAGAATTTCATTGAAATATTCGGAAAAGTGGACCTTTTGGATAAAGCACGACCTTGCAAGGAGATATCAACGGGCATGCAAGCTATTGTGTCGGTGAGTAGGAAAAAATAAAACTATCAGATGTGTTGCAGCGTACAAAAATTCCTAGGAAACGATGGCCCAATACTTTCGTAGGAGAGGAAAAATTACGTATGTAATATTTGTACATATAACGAGGGTATAAAAGTGGAACTTTACCTACGGGGTGATTGTAAGAGTAGTACGATCCAATCCATTTTCAGTCGCGTCCATTCCTCTGCCAAGACATGGAAGTGTAGCAGAATGTTCCTCAAAGCTTCCATCCACAATGTGTCACAAAATATCTCCGAATTGGAGAATGATTCTAAATCTATTACTAGCTTCAAGTCCTCCTGCTTGTTGCATACATCCACATGCAGTTGATATAACCTTACCGCAAATTAATGTAGGGGACAATTAAACTACGGTAAAGCATATAGAAATGTGAAACCAACTAAGTCCACTTATATTGTGAACGTATGATCTCACAAGTTCTTTCGTTGAAAAAACCCATTGTAAAAGCGACGTTATAATAAATTCCAGAAGAACTATTCCAATTGATACTATTTTTATATATTAATGTACCCTAAGAGTTATCAGGAAAAGATTATTTTATTGTTGTGCAGAATGTGATGACTAGTAATAATAAATTATTTTGGTGCTTTTGTAAAAGTAACCATTTCTCTTTTTTAGTTATTTAATTTTTAAAATCTAACTTCTCTTTAACTTTTCGATGCAAAGGTGTGGATTAAGCACAGCAGGCTTAGCAAGTGCAAATGGACTTTTTATGCGTCATGCACGGATATCCATTTCTTTCCATATATATTATCGGATAGCGTGTATGTGTTTCAAAACACATTCTTATACGCTTTGATACTAATTCGCAAGGTTTCATTGCGGCGACTGCACGGTCATACTTCTCCTAAATAAGTATATTTGACGCGTTGATTATATTGCCTGAACGCTGGCATTTAAACCGTATATTTTCCATTCGAATTAGTGCTTTCATGATATTGTTATGGAAATCTCAAATCCAGTTCATTCCAGCTAAGTAATTTTCCCAAATAATAAATTCGTTAAACAGATGCCGGCCGATGAAAACGGAAAAGCAGACAAGGATTAAAAAGAAGCCATGAATTTGCGTAAAGTAATACGCTTGCAAAAATGTACATAAATAGAATGTTTGTGGAAGGGAGAGTAGCAGTAGAAAAAGAATATTTGAGTTGAGCAGTCGAAAGTATTGCCAGAAATAAATTGTGAATAATCGTACATTTAAGGAATATAATTGTAAGATACGAGCATTTTGAAGTGTATTTCTTTTGAACAGAGTATCCGCGATCCACTGATACGGACTGTATCTGAGAAAAATGAGTTTCATAATAATATCATTTATTATCGTATATTAGTATATCATAATATGTATCAGTTTAAAGTCAGACCAATATTCCGTCCATCGTCTTATTTGTTTATGGTTTTTATTGAAATTTGTAAATTAAAAAGTGCGGCACTTTAAAGTCATTACTTTTAAGAATAGGCGGAACTATTATGAGAATGATTTTGATAAAAAATATTTTAAAAATGACGTTCACCGAGCTCGTAATTGTGTGATCAACATAAGGATAGCGAAGAAATACATCGAAATGCACGTCTTTCACCAATCCTCTTTAAAAAGATATACCTCGCATGACGTACCTTATGCGGATTTCAGTGCATTAGAAACATTTTAAAAATCTAAAGTATAGTCTGCGAAGAGGGCAATATAGTATTTTGCCATTGAATTGTTAATTAGAGACAATATGAAATTTATATTCTGTAACATTTTTATTCATACTACTAACGATTTTTTTTTTGATTCTGATGATATTTTATTAACTTTTTCTGTAACGTGATAAACAATATTTCTTATAATCTTTGTTTGCTTTAACTTACCATTAAATTCCCTCGCTCTGTTTATTCATGACGTGATACGTTGCACATGGCGTTATCTGCATGCAACATATGTCAATATGCCAAATATCTTAAATGTATTCCATACTTAAGTAAGTGTAACACGTTCCACAGCAGTAAGTGCACCAAAATACGCTGCAGATAAAAATGAAGCAAAATGTAGGAACAAAAATGTAGAAAAAAAATGTATAGTCATACGAAAGAGAATCTCGAATTCCCATCATTACGACGCTACATAATACAGAGAGTAATTTTGTTGTTTGATTATTTCTCTCATTTTCTTCTTTTGTTATCATTACTCATTATAAACTCCGGTTGATATATGTTATGTGTCGTGAATTTGATGATGTGTTACCGGATTTTCAAACATTACGTTTCGAACTCTGCCTTATGGATGTCTTTAGCCCATTTATGGGTACTACTATATAGTAAGTGAATAACTGCGCAGACAGATAAATTGACTTAGAAGTATATATTGGCTGATAGTTTTGATTGCTTAACAAAAATAACTAGAATAACCTTTAACGATGAAATATATAAGAAAAATGCTATTCGTTTATATAAAATTCTTAGCAATGTATTGAAGAGTAAATTCGTTACGCGGACGATAATTTTGATGGCAGTGTCGAAGGTGACGAACAGAATGGTAGTGTAGATGATGGTTTGAAATTACGAATTTCATAGCGAAGATGATTTATTTCTTTGCTTATTTTTTTAATACATAATTGTATATGTTCGTAAAATGTGCAATACACAATAAATATTTTGAAATGAGCTAAGTATTTTTTAATTGTAAAGGTTGATAGAATTTAGGCGTTTTTTGCATGCATGTAGAATATTAAATTTAAACAGCAATTGTCACGGGCAAAAGTACACAAAAATAAAAGAGAATAGTTAATGGAAAATTTTAGACAGTCGTAAAAAGAGGTAAATTAAAAAACAATTTCACCGTAAGCCTAAATGCTAATTAGTCAAACGCTTATAAGGATCCTAAACATACCCATATTATCCGCGATTGAGGAAAGAGAAGGCGAGATCTAATCAATAACATCTTTTTTCGTCTGCAACACTAGCCTAAAAAATTAAATTAATTAATAAAAACCATTTCCCCCTCTATTTCTGTGCGCGTGTTTTTTCGATTGTTTAAAACGATCGGTAAATTATTTAAGAGTGATATGAAAAGATGACTATACAGAAATCGAAATTTTACATAATCCAGAAAGCCTGCCATCCGAAGGTACGAATGGATTCGAGCAAACAACAGTCTAACTCTTCCGGAACAACTTATATCTATGTAAATTTTTTGTATGATATTGTCTGCGTTGGTTTTTGGTGGTTTTTATTTAAGTTATCTCAATATTACAAGAAAGTTAACGATATGCAAGAGATGATAACCTTCAGCGAAAATCTTTTCAATGAAAAATCTTTTGTGTCCGATTTGTTCTAAAGGTAACGCGTCTAAACTGAAAAGATAGGAGTGGGAAAGAAAATAACATTCAAAAGTATTCGTATATAGGCGCACATATACTTATTTTAGGTTAGTTCTTTTAGGTAGCAAATAATTGGTATCATTAACTTGACAAAAAATTTGCTTTTGCATATACTTCTAGTTAAAACGACAAGCATTTCACTAACTTTAGCTTTATTATATTCCGCTCGTTTCTGATTTTTTTATTCAGGGCCTGAGCCGATAGCCTGCATTGCTAGTGCTCAATGTCTTTTTTTTAATCTAAGAATTCATTTCTTAGTCTAAAATTATAACAATAATATTCACCTATTTTGCTTAGAAAGATATAGACTTTATTCAAGGTGCAATTTTAAAGCAAAAAAGATAATCTTGGCGCATTGATCTTAGCATTCTATCTTAACATTGCATCAGAATATTATAAAAAATAGCAAGAAGTATTTAAAATTTGAGAATTCATAGAAGGCTTAATTGTAGAGTTTCTATGAATTACTTAACACGGAAACGCGAAAGTTTTTTT